CCGCCCCAAACCGTTTCTGGCTTCGGGCTCCAAGTGACTTACGGCCTTTTTCAGCGGCGCTCTCCCGATGTTCCTAAGGAGTCGTAAACGCCTTGCCTCTCGCTTCTCTATCGTTATTGGATTCCACTTCAGGAAATTGACTCGTGAATCCTCCAGTTGCAGAGTGTCGTGCCCTAAAGCGAGACACCACCCAATCACATTTCAATAAAAACAAACCCTGTATGCGGCAGCAGTGGCGGCGTATGAGGAATATCAAACGCACTCAGAGGAAGGCGCTTATGACACTGTGCTTATAGCGCTGTTGCATCGCATTACAGCAGTAAATTGAAATTCGGGGCGAAATGATTAAATTCATTGCCACACAATATTTCTGGGAACAACAAAAAGAAAATATTATCACAGCTTGTTTTGAAGAGGATGACACAGTTGCAGCAGGTTGCTTTTCTCTGCCTTCTTTCCCCCAAAGGTTTCATCACTTTACCCCATTTCTCCTCTTCCCGCTTTTTTTTGTCTTCACATTCCTCCTCCTCTCTTCCTCCTCCTCCTCACACACTTCCCTGTAATTCATCCTTCCCTCAGTCCCTCCTTCCTATCCTGAGTCCTTCCTCATTTCCTCTTTTCTTCCTAGAATCCTTCGTCTTCAGCCTGTCCTTTCTTTCTGTCTTTCATCTCAATTTCTCCATCCCTCAGTCCTGTCTTCCTTCCTTTTTTCCTCCTTTCCTTCCTCCTCTTCACCACTTGCTCTGTTGCTTGCCTCTTCCCTATTTTCATAGCTCCTTACATCCATCCTCTTTCCTTCTTTCCAATCTTTTCCCCTTCTCCTCTTTCTTTTTCTTTTCTTTTATCTCATTCCTTTAGTCTGTCCTTCTTCAACTAGTTCCCTTCCTCACTTCCTGCCTTAACGTGTCCTTCCTCCTCCTTTCCTTCTTCATCTGTCTTCCTCTCCTCCCTACTTTATTTGTTTCATCTCAACTCCTCCTCCCTTCAGTCCTTTCTTTCTCTTGTTTCCTCCTTTCTTTTCTCTTTTTCACAAACACTTGTTCCCTTTCTCCTGATCTCTGTCCATCCTCCATCCCTCTTCTCTCATTTCTTGTTTTTCCCTTCTTTAACTGCACTCTCTCTCCCCTTTAATCTCCCTTGCATCAAAGCAAATGTCTCTCTTCTTTTTTTCCTTTTTCATCCTAACTCCTCCTTCTTTCTGTCCTTGCTTCCTCCCTCCCTTCCCCAGATTCTCCAGTACTTGTTCCCTTGTTTGCCTCCTCTCTGTCTTTATCTTTTCTTTCTTTATTACCTCTTCCTCTTTTCCTCTTCCTCCTTCCTGGCACTTGTCTCCTCCTTCTTTTAATATCTCCTTCCATCCTTCTTCTCTCTCTCTCTCTCTCCCTCTCTCTCTCTCTGTGTGTGTGGTTGCTGTGGAAGCAGGGATGTAAAGCGACCCTAAAACAGGAAGCAGATGATAATATAATAATGCAAGATGAAACTGTATTGATTGTTGGCGTTGAAATGAGGTCACAGCAGCGGCGGGGAGGAGAGGAGAAATTAGAGTCGAAGAACGGAGGAAGTCAAATATGCAGAAGCAGCAATTTCAAGGTGATAAGGGCACATTAAGATGAATGTATAAATGAGAAATAAGACTCGGTGGAACATATTCGGTGTCGCTGAGAACGCTGGGATCTCCAGGAAGAATTTAAAATAAAGTTCGAAGACAAAAAAATTAAAATGTGGCCTCCACGGGAGACAGACTTTTTTTCCCGAACACTTGAGAGCTGAGATTTCTGCAGAAAAGTGGCGCCATATGCCTGTTTCAGCCTGCTTCACACCGCAGTCTCAGTTGTGGATGAAGAGGAAGGAGAAGAAGAGCAGTTCAGGAGGAGGAGGAAGAGGAGGAGGAGGAGGAGAGTGGTGTTATGTGGTCAGGAAATACATTTTTGGCAGAGGGAAAGCAACAGAGAGCTGTGAGGACACGAGAGAGTTTTGTTGGTAAGTTGGTATTTAGGCGACTGTCAGGCAGGCGGTGGGTGGGAGGTGATGTATGGATGGAGGAGATGTTAAAGAAGTGAACAGACTATGAGGAAGAGGAAGCAGGCTGAGCTCGCTGCTGCTGCTGCTGCTTCCAACAGTCTGTATCGACGCAATCTGAGGCATCACAGAGGAGAATAAAGACACTTAACACTTCAGAATTATGTTTTTAATAGTTTTTATGGTTCAATTTAAACACCTGGTTAATGTTATGGGAATATATTGTGATTGTGGTTCAAGGTTATATACACAAAGTTCATTTGTAACAGGATGTCGCACTAGAGCACCATCTCAGGTGAAATCAATGGGCGCCACCAGATTCCACTGATAAAACCTGTTAACTTTTAACTTGTAGAAAATCAGAAAAAACACTTCAAAAAACTGGAAACAAACTAAAACTCACCAAAACTCTTCCCAACAATCACCAACTCTGGTTTGGTGGAAATAAACTCTGAATTCACAGATCACAAAGTATTGATGAAAAGGGCTGCAGCAACGTAAGCTAACGTCAACCTTTGTGGACAAATGTGTCCACTAAGAGTAGTCGTTGTTTGTTCCACTAACAGTAGTAGTTGTTGTTTGTTCCACTAACAGTAGTTTTTTGTTCCACTAACAGTTGTTGTTCGTTCCACTAACAGTAGTTGTTGTTTGTTCCACTAATTGTTGTTTGTTCCACTAATTCCACTAAAGTAGTAGTTGGTTCACTGAACAGACTCAGTTGTTATTGTCAGTGTACTGAAAGCATTATGAAAAGGGATCCCTACAGAGATAGACTTTTAGTTAAACCACAAAAACCAAGCCGAATATCATAATCACTCTCCCACCAGACTCAAGAGACCACAACCTTCAGATCATGCGTAACTTCATTTAAAGTGGACAGAAAGAATGAAACTCATTAAAACCATCTTTGTTAATCTTTCCAACAATCATCAACTCTGGTTTGGTGGAAATAAATCCTTAATTATATATATTATATAATATATAATCTCTAAATGTTAATGCTGATTTGTTTCAGTGAACACTGGTCTAGTGTCTAGCACTAGTCTCTACTATCAAAGTCATTGTCAGTGAATGCAATCCAGGCAGTACATATTAGTGATATATGAAAGGAGACTCATATCTTTAAAAGACAGAGCTGCCAAAAACAAGGTCGCCCAACCTTTGCAAAGGAAGGTTTGAGGACCATCGTCGTCACATCAATAATAAACAAGTGGTTAAGGTTATGAAATAATGCTTTAAAAAGACCATTTGTAGTTTCAGTGTCCTTATAGCGGAGGGCAACTGACTTGGGAGTGAGACCAGATTCAAGCTACGCTGATAAAGGCAGAAGTAACAGCAAATTAAGATTTATATTCCAGTTTTGCTAAAGTTTTCTTTTTCTTTCGTGGAAAAGAATACAAAATAAATTAGATTTGTATGTTGCTTTTCAAGTGTTCTCGAAGATGCTTCACAACATAAAGTATAGAAGATAAGAGCAGAGCGTCGATGTGATTCGACGTGTCTATTTTGAATAATATTTTGTATTTTTGCTTTTCCTGATTTATTATGAAGCTGAGACATCTTGTTTAACATTCAAGAGTTGAAGTGGAGGCAAATTGCTTTTGGTGTTTCCTGCTCCGAGACTGTAATTTCTCCACTTCAGAGTGGATTATTATGCTTGTAAACCATGTCTACATAGCATGATTGATTGTGATTGGCCAAAGAGGCTTATCAGTTGTATTCACCCCTAAAAACACCAGCGTTTCTTTTAAAGGATTTCAGCTGATTTTGGGCTAAATTTCTGCTTCTCCTCCTGCTGTTAGAGGACACTGAGCCGCGTGGACGGACGTATCAACCGACTGCTGCTCTCTCTAAAAGCATGTCCTTTCCTCCCTCTGAATGTTGCATGTGTATGTGTGAATTAAACCGGGACCTTATCAGAGCGCTCCCAGCCACAAGTGTTCCCATTGAAATGCAAGGCGTGATGTTTAATCATTATAAGCGAGATCTGCGGCGGCCGGGCTAATCTCCATTTTAACATTTCACACAGTGCCTGCAGTTATGTGCCTTTTTCGCTTCCTTCCTTCCGCTGAAATGACGAACAATAGCTCCTTTTCACAGCGGCGAAGTGGCGGCGGAGAGGAGGCAGAACGCCAGTCGCCAGCGTTAACAGCAGCTAACAAACTTGACCTCGGCGGGTTCATGCAAATGCACAGTTAGAGGGAATAATGGCTGCTGCTGCTAAAACACGACCCTCACTTGAACCTGCTCCATCCGGCAGAGGAAGAG